CCTTTGTAAAAACTGTTAAAGATTTCTATAAAGTACTCACATTCTTTCTACACATGTTTGTGATTCAATCATCACAGAGCAAACCAGGTGTTAGGGACACAGAAACTTAGAGGCAGACCGACACATTCCCAATACAGTCCCACACAGTTCCACATCACACATAAAGACAGATGGACAGAAACACACACACACGTACATACACAAACTCAGAGAGAAAGAGAGAGAGAGAGAGAGACAATTGCGAAGACAGTCTCCAAGAAGGCACAGATTAAGACTCATATAACAAACATAGAAGACATAGTTGACACAGAAATCATGAAGTAGAGAATTCAAATCTGGACTCATTCTTGGTTAAATGACAAGAAATGGTAATTGAGGTAATTTCATTCCTTAATGCAACATTGATACATTGTGGGTGACATGGAATTTATTATTAATGCATTCAAAATGACTGCAATGAGAGATAATTTTGTGTAGTTTTTTTAATTACTGCTTTATGAATTTAGTATTAGGATGCTAATGGATTTTAAAATGAACTGTATATGCTAACTTCTGTTCCTTTGGCGAAATGTGCACAATTTGTGTTTTCAAAAATAATTTTGTAGAATTCACTAGTGAAATTATTTGGAAATGGTCATTCATTTTGAGAGAATTAATGAATAATCAGTTTAGATTTATGGTAGTTATAAGACTATAATAATTGTGTGTGTGTGTATGCTTGTGTGCACATCTATGTGTTGGGGATTTTTAAGGCTGCTGTTTGCATCATGTTCTGTGCAGTCAAGTGCAGTATGATGAGGGCTACTACAGATCTCTGAGAGAAGGAACCAACACACCTCAAGGGTAAGAGCAAGAGCAAGATCAAGGGCTAGACCTCCCCCACACAGACACTGTTCCATTACAGCAGGAAGAAAAAAACGAGATTACCTTTAGATTAAAGTCATTAATGAGGTCATTGCCTAGATTGGTTCCCCACAGCATTCTAGGATGAGTTATTTGGAAGGAGAATAAGACCCATTCCTAGAACTCACGGTTGTGAAACTGAGTTTGTCAGCTAGAAGAGAGTGGAAGCAATATTGAGCCTCTTATATCTAAAGTATGCAGGCAGTGTATAGCGCTGCCTCTTAGTATGTAAGTCAAAGACAACAGGACAGCATGATGAATGGGGAAGCAGAATTAGCATGCATGTGAGTTATTACACTGTATATGTACCTGTGTGTTATGAGTGTGTGTGTGTGTGTGTGTGTGTGTGTGTGTGTTGTTGTTGTTGTTTTCAGTCCATTCCAGCAAGGTGTCAATTATGCACGCGGTGATTTTTAATACTACTTCATTTATACTAATTTCAATGTTTGCCCAGTCATCCTGTTTTTATGGCTGATATTAACGTCTCTCACTTTTCATTCTTTCTCATTTTTCTTATTCTAATTGTATCTTATTAATTGTGATATTTTGCATTTTCATTTAGAATGATGTAGGGTTTTTTCTCCTTATTTTCTCTTGATCAAGTGGGTTATTGAGAATGATGTTGCTTTCTAAATGTTTTGGGGTTCTCATTCCCCACTATTAATGTTATTTTTCATTTTAATGCCACTGCAATCAAGGAACACAAATGTATGATTCCAGTTATTCATCTTGAGGCTTGCTTTATAACATTTTAGGATGATTTTTTTCCTGTGGAAAAAATAGGCTGCCATTGTTTGGTGGAGTGATGCTAGTGCCTATACTGATTTGACCCTAAGGGTTCATGGGTGGTTGGGTTCATCTGTATCCTTACCAACCTTCTGTATAGTCCTATTTGTTTTTGAGAAATGAAGGCTGGAATCTCCAGCTTCAACTTGAATTGAATATTACTGTTAGTTCTGCTTTCATTTTTAAAATTTTTGTTTGCTTCTTTTGCATTGAATTTGCTTTTGGCTAAGAGTTTGTACTTTTATTTTTTCAAATAAGAATTCATGACTACTTGAAATCTTTTTTTTACAAAGGTTGATGTAAAACATCAGATAAGTCTAACATTTTTTATGTTGATGTTAAAATTAATCATCTCATCCAGTCTGAGAATTAACTGGTTATTAGTATGAGTGAATTTTGAAATTTAAACTTGAAAATATTGGGTGTTATTAAACTTTGGATCTTATTCAAGTCTTGCTTTTAGTTTGCTATGAAACCACTCCCTTGGGACAAAAAGAACTTCATTTTATTGCTGGCAGGTGGAGATGCAAATGAGGGTTCCCCATTTTTCTCCTAGTGAAATTAAGATTGGTTTATTTATTCTGGGTATGAGCCAGTATCATATCTCCACTAGCCCTTCAGGAATGTATTGCTGGCTACTAATCTCTTATTGACCCTGTCTTAGCCTCCTTCTGAGATGAAGTGGAAAGACAGTGTGGCAAGGAGCTTGGCTTCATAGCTGGACAATGGTGAATGTCCTGGCTCCCCACTGACTTCTCAGACACCTTAAGAATTTCCAAGGTCTACTGTTGGTTACTCTTGTTATCTCCATGTGTTTTGGTGTCTCATTATTAATGCAAATAATTCATTTCCTGGACACTGTAGTGTGTGAAGAAGAATAGTAATGCTTCATTAGTTTCCAGAAGGGTTGGTGTAGATCTGAATTATTCCCTTGGATTTACTGGCAAATATTAGGTTTGGTTATCCAGTTTCCATATGGGTTGGATGAAGTACAGAGGTTATTTCCTATACATTTTCTGAATTACTATGTGGATTTGGAAGGAAGAGAGGGGGTAGTCACAGCTTTTTTCTTGTTTCTTGTTTTATTAATTTCCTTCTTCATAGCCATGTGCCTTTTTGTGTCTAATAGTAGTTGACTGTTTTAGTGCTAAGTCAGAGACACAGAGTTTGAAAGAGATTCCTCAGGAGTCATTCTCATATCTCATATTGTTTTGGGGTTTCAAAGTTCCCTACCAGTCAACTCTTTTCTCACCTTTCTGAGTTCTCTTTGTGTAGTTGTTTTGGGTGGATGGAAAAGGGGAAGAAAGTACACTTAGACCTTCTCAGAAGTGCATCTTCTCTGCTTACTGTTATCCAGAATCAATACACAAAACTCTGATTTCACCCTTCAACCCCATCCTTCCAAAGACTCTATTGAGTTCAGGTAAGAGAATTTTTTAATAAATTAATAAGTTGACTTTAGTGATAGACTTAGCTCCTGATTGTTTATTACAGAGCTGTTTGATTACATTTGGAACGTCTTCTGCTATGAGTCTGAAAAGTTAAAGAGCTCATATGGACGCACAAATGAAGATGTAGTAGGCTGGACTATATTTCTTCCTTGAAAGTCAGACAGCCTCTTTGTCTTATATTTGATATTCTCAACAGGAGTTTGTCTAAAACAAAATTAAAGTTAATGTATTAGTATTTTCCAAAGGATATGCCCATTTCTTTGTCCTCCCTGTAAGTCCTCATGTCCATTTCACTTCCTACCACAATGGTTGATAAACAGAGGGCCCTTAAAATATAGTGTATTACATGAAATTTCCTGTTTAGAAAAGATTTAAGTATCTTTGAGGCCAAAAATTGTTTTGTTGTAATTTCTTTTTTATTTGGCTGGGTGGAACTCCCCATTTTTATTCTATTGCAGTACTTGTTTTGTTTCCTTCTAAGCTGATACTACATTTATCTGTGAAATCCTTGGTGAATATTTTAATGAAAACTTGAGGAACATTTTATTCATCTTTATATGCTATGAATTGACACTTTTTTAATAAAACAAAATATGAGAATAGTATTAAGAGCAAATGACAACCTGCCAATCAAACATAAATATGAGGTTCACATTCTAAATCAAATTGTTGATTTAAAGCCATCTGTATGAAGCATAAAAATAGTTTAATGACACCCACACTATGCCACTAACAAATATGGAATTAATCTACTGTTAACAATATGCAAATCTGCTTATGAGAACAGTTCTTCAGCTCATTCTTTCCACACTGTTATGGTTTTACTGCTGGTCTATCTAGGATTAGAGAAGTGTCATTCATAGTAACTCTATGAAGACTCTCTGTAGAATACACACATCTTGTTTTGTTAAAGGTAAACTTCTTCTGTAAACTGAAAAGAGCTGGATAGGATAATCACAATCATTACATTATCTTTCTGAATATTCACATATATTATGTACTAATTATTGTTGCAGGATATTTGTCCACTCTGAAGATGTATTGCTGTGACAGTACAAAGTAATGGTAACTAAGTCACAAAAAAGAGCATATATTGAAAGATATGAATTAATTTAAGTTATAAGAGCTAGTTAGCAACAAGCATAAGCTAAGGCCAAGCTTTCATAATTAAATACAATTCTGCATGTTGCTATTTCTGAAATATTGTTTTAAAGAAATAGTACAGCTCTCAATAGGAAAATACTATTTGTATCACTATAAAAGAGATAAAATAATAGACATATACCGTGCTTATAATTCAAACACTGGGCAGGCTACAGTAGGGGGATTGCCAGAGTTTGCGACTTGTGTAACATAATAATTTATAGGAATGTGGATGGGCCAAAGACATCTTCATCACTGAGCATTCCATCCTGGTGGAATGATGGAACCTGCTTGTTCAGCTCCATGCATCACTTGTAGACAGCTCTCCACTTGGAATTAAGGGCTTTCCTCTCCAGACATTCATTTACTGCTTGAAAAAGAGACTTAGACTATCCTGGGTTGTAGGTTTCAGCAATTTTTTGAGCATTATAACTTTTATTTACTTTCAAATCTTCGTAAAATTACTTCCAGAGGCTTGTGAGTAAGCATCCTTTGTTTCTGGAGTCCTATGATTCTCCCTTCTCCTTCAAATTCAGAAGAAATAACAACAGAATAGTATCTCTTATTTTTATATATCTAGAATAAGAACAATGGACTTAACTTTAAACACTATGGCTCTTAATGAATGATCATAGAATTCATTATATGACTAAATAATCTTAATACACATTTTGATTATAGTAAAAGTCAAGTATATTTGCAACAATTGTGATAATGTTACCACAAAGATATCCCAACACATAATTGATAATTTATAGTTGTTATGATTTTCATATTTGTTTCAGATAAATAAAACAACTGCATATGATTAATGACTGAGAAGAGAGCTCTACAGGTAAAGACACCTTCTGTTATGCCTGATTACCTGAGTTTAATCCCTGTGATCCACATGCAAAAGGAGGAAACTAATTCATGCAAGTTGTCCTGAGATCACTACACTCTATGCACATGTGCATACACATACAGGCACACCCATACAGACACACACACACACACACACACACACACACACACACACACAGACAACACACACACACAAATGGTAACAAAAATTTTTAAAGATCAAATAAAAATTTACTCTTTCTAAGTGCTGGGTTTTGGACGTAGAATTTTACAGAAGAATATGGAAAGCACAAGAACAACTTTAACAAATTAGTATAAAACAGTTTTTAAAGGGCATATTCTGAATACAAAACATTTTAATTTTGATGACATATAGTTTAGCAGAATTGTTTATGTGCTGTGATTTTGTGACCTAAGGAATTTTTTTCCACTTAATAGTCACAAAATTGCCCTTTTGTATTTTTTCAGAAGACTTAGCAGGCTACATTCATGGAGTTTATTATTTCAAACTTCAGGTTCATTTAGAACTGTACTTTATGCACATAAGTAGATTGCATATGTTTATATGTATGTATACTTGCATTTTAAGATAAATACATGAGGTTGAGAGTTTAAAGGCAGTTAATTAGTAATAGGCTGGAGTTTGAAAAGGTATTGATTTAATTGAGCAAATAGGCTTACCTTTGAGGAATCTGGTTATAGTCATACTTTGTATATGTTGTAGTCCTCACTTAGGTCTTACATTTTGTCTGTTTCATGATAGTTAGGCAACAGTGAATAAGGTGTTTCCACCTAAATCCCCCTTCTATTTAAAGATTTTCCTCATTCTAAAAATGTATAAAGTGTCAAAAGTTTTCATCAAAAATGAAAGAAATCCCACTGTTGTAAGGAAACACAGGTGCACTTTGTGATTTCATAAAAGACCCAATATTTCATGTAGGGCTTTTGTCATTCATACTTTTGGAAATGTGATTATATCTCATTTCATTAGACTAACAGCAGATGCTGTTAGTAGAAAATAAAATTGAAGGAAGGTAACTGAACAAATTGAAACATCTCTTGTTCTTGGCTAAAACATACATTTTTATGCTTTTCTATGTGGTCAGTTCCTGAGTGAGCAATGAATTCTACCCAAATGCCTTCAAATTACACCTGAGGAGAATGCCAAGACCACTGTAGTCAGACACCAGCCATGGTTGTTAACTTACATTTTTAGAATTCTGCTAAAATCTCCACTAATGTCATTCAATATCCACAAAAATATCATAAATGAAGTATATTTCTTTGCACTTTGACAGTAGAGGTACTGAGTCTTTCAAGGGTTGAATTGTTTGCACAAGATCATGCACTTGTTTAGGCATAGTTATGACTTCTATCTGGGTCTGTATACCATAAGCTCCTTTCTCATTAATATGTCATCTAAGATGTAAAGACCGATGTGAACTCTACTGGTAAATATAAATCAAGCAAAAGGAAATTGTAAAGCTGAGCAATAAGAATGAAGAAGCAAACACATATTGACAATCCTTTGGCAATTATCACATGAGTCTTCTTAAGAATCTATTGACAGGGGATGAAGGGCGTGTTAAATATTAGGCTTCTGAATTTTAAAAAAAGATTAAATTACAATACTTTATTCTTTCCTTTTATTTATGTATTTATTTTGTGTGTGAATGTGCATGCACACTCATACTCTCTTATATCATGGAAGGCATATGAAGGTCACAGGACAAATTGCTTGAGTTGATTCTTTCTTTGTACCTTTTGGACCCCAGGCTTGGAATCATGTTTTCAGGCTTGGCAGCAAGTGCCTTCACCTGCTGTGCTAACATGATGAGCTGTAAACAGATGATGTTGATTCTGTAGTCAATGATTCACAGTTGGAAATGGGTCGGTATTCAGCCAGAGCAGTCTGATCAAGATTGCAATAATCTTGAGCAAAGTCTTCTTTTCTTAGCTTTCTTTTTTTGAGATTTTTAAAAAGAAAACAGAATATATTCTGTTAATTTGGAACTGACAACATTTGACTGTCTTTAATTCTGGTTTCCTCAACCTTAACTTATCTGCATTTTCCTTTTAAACGGGATGTGATGTGGCCAAGATATTCCCACTCATAAGCCTGGTTTAGTTACTTCTCATTCAGCTTTACAACATGCGGAATTTAGGGTTTTGTTCCCTAATACTTTACTGTGGAAAAAGCTGTAGGGAATACCTCCCACCAACTTGTTTCAGCTTAACTTATTCCCAGAGTACTAATTCATGCTAAATTAACCACAGGAGATGGAAGATTTAACAAGTGGATCCACCAGGATGAAACTCAAACCTTTGTAAGTTAATTTTTATTCTGAAAATTAAGATGTATCTCAGAACACATTGGTGACAAAATAGTTTTTCTACCAAGAAATCCATCTTTGGACTATGAGGTAAACAAGGCTTTACACTAAATTATATAGTAAAGGGTCTGGAAAATACATGGTTGCTTAAAACTCCCTGTAACTGTAGTTCTGGGCATGCAGGTGGGGCACAGACATGTAAACATGCTCACAAAATAAAGTAAATCTATAAGGAAGTTTTTACAACAAATGAAAGGTTAAGGGAGGCGAGTGAATATGGTCAAATTCATTGTATAAAATTCTAAAAATATAAGCTAAAGATATTTTAAAAATAAATTAAGTAATCTAAGGTAAAACTGGCAAAAGTATTTCTAGCTTTGCTGTATTGCCTAATACAATACTGTATTGTATTGACAGTAGAAAGAAATCCTATCTATTTCTCAATTATCAGGCCTTAGAGAACCTTAGCATGGTAGCACAAAACAGAAAAAGGCATCCTGGGAGATGTGTCGTCTGAAGGAGTGGAGGTAAGAACTGAACATGGGTATCTGTGTTTCTCCTGGCTAAACCTCGTATCCTTCTTCATATATGATGCATTGCCATCTTCTTCCAGGCTGCCACTTCTTCAGTCAGCCACGGTGAGTTCACTCTTGTCAGTCTGCCTGTCCCGTGGAGCCTGTTAGGGAAGGTCTGGAGATTGTCCCCACTAAATCCAGCAGATGAGAATGAAGTTCCAGGCAGCAAGATGATGCAGTCTTTCACAGATTGTCCTTGTCAGCTTCTGCCTTTGCCTTAAGGTCTCGATGACAGAGCAGTCAAGGTGCATCTCCAAGGCTTTCTCTGCTGCCTGGTTACCCATTGTTGCTGTCCACCCATGCATGCCTGTGACAATACAACATGGGAATTTCACCAACATGGTCTCCATTCCAACCTCACCCACCCATGAGGTCTTTGACAAGTGTGCAGAGGTTTTCTCCTCTTCTCTATCTTTCTTTTTTTAATTGCAATTATGAGAAAATTTTATTGACCTTTTGGATAAAAGCTATTCCTCATGAAGGATGATCCCATCATAATTCTGCTGCAACAAGAGCCTGGTCTCCTCTTTGCTGATTCTGTGTTTGGCCCCAGTGCAGCCTGCCCTGTGCTTCTAGTGTTCAGTGCTGAAACCTGGCCTACCCAGCCCCACACATAAGTCCAGGCCGTAGATCCCAATGCTTGGGCCATATGTGATGCCCAGGTCAATGTGTTGTTCAATCCCCAAACCAAAGTTTCCAGTTTCTGAGAAGTTATTTTTCTATAACTCATATGCCTGCACCTTCAGGCCTTTCTCCAGAAATTCTTTACCTTGTCTCACAGAGTGTGCAGCGAACAGTAATCTTTTCAATTTTCCTGATGTCAAAGGACATGACAGTGTATTGTCAGGTAGCTTTAGAAATACAGGTGTCTGGCCTGTGAGCTGTTCAACACCATGGCTGCCTGGGTCAGTCTGTTCTCACTCTTCCCCATGTCGATATTGAGGCAGAGCTTTTGGATTCGAAGTTCCCACATGGCCTTTTCCTTCTCACCTTGAACTTGTGCTCTGATGGAGGACAGGAAGAGGTGCGGAGGTTTTCTGCTTTGTCTTTTTTTTTTTTTTTTTTTTTTGGTTTTTACGAGACAGGGTTTCTCCGTATTTTTTTTGGAGGCTATCGGTCCAGCTCGGCCTCGAACTCACAGAGATCCACCTGCCTCTGCCTCCCGAGTGCTGGGATTAAAGGCGTGCGCCACCACCGCCCTCTGCTTTGTCTTTTTATCTTCCTTTTTCTTATTCTCTTCTTTCTTGTCTGGAAGTCCCAAGCCCTCTTTGGTGACCAACTCTAAGGTATTCCCTTTCGATTTCTCCAGCTCTTGAACACTATACTCACCTTTGAGCCACAGAAGACTTCTAAGCTGCGGTTTGGAGTCATTCTGCAGAGGCTGAATTAACCTTGAGATAAAATAGGCATGTTTCTTATTTGTTTCACTCTGGTGCAATGGTCCTCCAGAGAAACCATCTCACAGTCAGGATCAGGTGTGCAACCAGAGGCAGCAATGCAGCTCTCAAATTGTCTGACTTTAGGAGTCTCCATGAATCCCACGATTTAGGGAAATGTCCATAAAACTAGCAGTCCTTTTCATCTTCTCCAACTTCAATGGACAGTTCTAAGCATTATTTTTCCATCAAATTCTTTCTGACAACTTTCAAAATTTTCCTTTTCTGCAATATTTCATGGGAATTCGTTAGAGGGAACTCCTTGGAAACCACTACTTCTCCAATAAAATTCAGGCTCTGGAGGATTGGCTCCTCACGGCTACCCACAATGGAATTCCGTGGACACCCAACTTAGTGCTGTTCTTTTTTTCTTTTTTCCTTCAAGACAGGGCTTCTCTGTGTAGCTTTGGAGTCTGCCCAGGAACTTACTGTGTAGACCAGGCTGGCCTCGAACTCACAGAGATCCACCTGCCTCTACCTCCTGAGTGCTGGTATTAAAGGTATGGACCACTGCTGCCTGAGCTTAATGCTGTTCTTTTTCCTTCTGTTTTCAAATGGATCAAAAGGAGCACATCTTGGAACAAAAAGAAGAGCTCAGAATTCCAGCTGTCCTTCAACAACAAGAAGAAACCCCGCCTCCAGAGGTTCAACACAAATACAGGTCTGGCTCTTGCAACTCACAGCACACTTACTGTCAGCAGCATATCTAGTCAAAGTGGGTTTGGTGCTTGGGTTCCTCTTGATCTGTATACGTCTTAATCTTATTTTTCTTGTCGCCTTTCTCTCTCTCCATCCTTCCTCCTTCCTCTCTTCCTTCACCCTTCCTCCCCTTTTCTTCAGAACCAGGACGACCCCCTTCTTCTCTTCCTCTTCCTCCTCTGTCCTCTTCCCTTTTCTTAACTTTCTACAGTGCAATTTGTTTTACAACTAAGCATGATTATTTGTAGCTAATTTCTACAGCTAATCATTCCTCCAGCTCACACTCTCTATTTGTCTCCATTAGCCAAAGAACTTGAAAGCTACAAATGTGGTATTTTTCATTTTCTGTCACAAAATCCTTTAATGGATATTCAGCTGGTTTATGATAAAAAAAATAGAGTCTTTGTTGTAGTACACATGGTGTTTTGAAAACACACATATGAGAGTACACATGGTGAATGTGGAGGTGCCAGAATTCACTACTGGGTCTTTCTGTTTACATGCTTGAATTTGTGATGGATATGACAAATTAGCTTATGACATGTGGGTGATATGAGTCAGGTAATAGAACCACGACATGGTACTAGAGAGACGAGAGATAAAACTTGTTAAATAGGAGATCTGCTTTGTAATAATGTGTAATAAAGGGGAAAGCAATCTCTGCTTCAGCAGCAGCCACAGCAGCAGCCACAGCCTCTGTCACAGTCTAACAGCAAGATCAACTCTCGAATTTATAGGTCTCCAGTCACCATGGTCCAATGTTACTTAGAGTTTGTAGGTCAATGTGATTTCCACTATCAACTGAGGTAAGGTTCTTTTTAGGGATGATTAATTAATATAAAGCTATCTTACATTAGTTTCATATATGTTCTTGTGAAGTGTGTCTTTGTAGAAAAGGGACACGATTATGATTAATATTTTACATGCAATGAATTATTTGACTATATTTGGCTCAAGTTCCTGTTTAAAATTCTCTGTGTCATTGAGGGTGCTCTTTAAAAACATTCTTTACTTATAATACTTTACTTACGAGTTTGGATTTATTTTGGAGACAGGGTCACACTATATATAGTTTCAGTTAGCCTAGAACTCACAATGTAGGCCAGGTTGACATCAAACTTGTGCCAGTTCTCTTATTTCTGCCTCTAGAATGTTCAGATGACAGAAATGTATCCTCATGACCAGATGCCTGATGAAACTTGAGCAAGCCCCTGAACCTTATCCTAGCCTCATCTGTTGACCACTCCAGTGTAAAATCAGTTCTCTCAAGATCTTTACTCAGGCAATTTAGCTATAACCAATACCCTAACCCATTTGTATTAATACCTGATCAGGTTCATCATAGCCATACCTACTGCTTGGCTATTAACCACCACCATGAGGGTTGATTACCTTTTCCAATGTTGTTACATGGTAGCATTTGAGTTGTTTCCACAATTCAAGAGTTTCTGACAGGGTCAGACTTGAAGAACAAACACTGATACTCTTGGATGAAGATTTCTATAAAAACTTGGAGAAGCAGTGCAGGGTGAGCCCTCTGCCTGGAGGGATAGGCAGAGATTGGAGGTAGGGAACCATCCTGAAGCTATGAATTTATATTTCTGTCCCAGAGCTCTTGTAACAACATACCAGTACCTCTGTTCTTTAAAGTGACATTAATATATTTTTATCAGAGTAGTGAGAAGTCTGAAACCAAGATAGCATCAGGGTGGCTCCATTTCCAGAGTTTTGAGGAACAATCTGTCCCATTCTCTACTGGCTTCTGGCAATAGCTAGGAGCACTGAGTGTCCTTCATCTTTGGATATCTGTCTCCATCTTCACGTGGCATGTTATGTGTCATCACAAGTTCATTTCCCTCTATGTCTCTTTTCTCTTAAAAGAATCCCCACAATAGTGGTAAAGGACCACCTGACATCAGCATGAACTCACCCAGTTACATCTGCAACTCTGTTTTCAAAGAAGGTCACATTTTAAGTTACTATGGGTAAAAATTTCAATATATACATATATTAAATTTTGTGGATTGACAGTATATATAATTTTATATTTATTTTCATTTACATTTGTATATTAAATAAACTATATACATATATACATATATAGTATTTAAATCCACAAAATGACCCAGTGACAGAGGTCATCTATACTACTGAGAAGGCATGAACGTGTAAGACAAAAGTTTCCTGTGCATTTCTGGGAGAACTAATAGCATCTCAGTTGGAAAACCTCATCTGATGAAACTCATCCTGAGAGCAAAAGCAATTACTTTATGAACTAGGCTGGAAATAAACATCAGAGGGAACAGTTTTCAGGAAGTTTCATAGATGGTTTTAACAGTTTCCCTAAAATGTGTGATGATGGAAATTTCCTGTGCAAAAACATCACGACCAAAAGAATGATAGCAGTAAACCAGGTTACAAAGGGAGTTGGAAACAAAGACGGAAGAGGGCCACATCACTGACTATTGTCTGTGACAAAGATTCTATTTATGATTTCATCTTTTCATTTGTGTCATCATTCTTAATTTGCTATTGATCGATCTCTTGTGGTTTTCTTTCAGTCTTACCCCCTTGCTTTTTCATTTTTACTTCCATGGTCTAGAGGCATCCCAGGCTCAAGAATGAATATTAGCACATGTTTTATCTATGTGATTATAAATTTGTTCTTATTAGTCATTGTTATAAGATTCAATCAATTTCCAAGTACATCATGACTAAAACAACTTTGCCTGTAAAGTTCACTTAGGTCATGGCCAGCCGCCCTTTCTCCACATCCCAGCCAAGGTTATTATCATATGTGTTCTGTTGGACTTTGGACTTAGGAATGATTCTCTTTCACTTCTTGTAGTTGCTACTGTAGCTTTTTGTTTAACTTTACTTCAAGTGCATTATTGCAAAGGTGTCAGATCCTCTGGAACTGGAGTTACAGACAGTTGTGAGCTGCCATGTGGGTACTGGGAATTGAATTTGGGTCCTCTGGAAGAGCAGCCAATGCTCTTAACAACAGACTCATCACTCCAGCCTCTTCTGTGTCTTTTTAATTGTACTATAAACATGTAAAAATAGCAGCTAAGTGTGATGATACTAAGGTTGTGTGATTTTACTCAATTAAATGATAGGGGCATCTCCCAGCATTCAGTATGCCATCATTGTCTACCACTTTATGGTCTATTTGTCTTTGGGTTTGATAGACTCCTCATGAGTATGCACAGAGAAGCTCTCAGGAGTATAAGGAGAAAATAGCACCTTGTCCTTACTTATAGAGTACAGCAGAGAGTATCACACCATCTTTTCTGCTCATAGGTATCTTACACTTCTAAGCATACGACAAAGAACATTATAGAACCTAACCACAAGGTGGTACTCTTTCCTGTGGGTATGTGCACACTGGTGCTGCTTAATAGTAGTACATTGTCTTTTAGTTTCTAGCAGCACACAGGCAATTTCATATCTTATGCTACAGAATTGCTACATGTAAATTAGAAAAGGATTGCACTGGGAATTACAAACCATTTCATTTCCCTCTTTTATCACTTTTTTTCATGAGTAAAAATGCTTTAGTTCTCTGGGAATTTAAAGTAAATAAATAGTGCACTTGATGTGAAGATAAAATTTCTCTGGAGAAATAATAAATTCATTCAAATCTACTTCAAAACACTTGTCCCAAGAAGATATTTAAATCAAGTGTGTTGTATATTAATTTTATGATCATAGACTTTGAAAGAAATTCAAAACTAGTAGAAGACAAAATGTTCGTGGAGCAGAAGGACTGAGGGACATGAAGCCACAGATTCCAATCATTTCACTGAAGAAGCTGCATCATTAGCAGGGTTTACTTTCAGACACTTTCAGTATTTTACAAAAAATGTAAGATGCCAAGAGAACTTTATGTTGTGTAGTTATGTGGATGTTAAGGCAATGTGGATAAAAAGGTGCTCCAACTTCTGAGGAAATAGTCTTTCATTCAAAAGTAATTCAATCATCTCAAATGAAAATTATATCCTAATATCATTGGGCTGGAAGAATACAGAATGTTTATTTACCTTTACAACATCATAACCCTAATGGTTTTAGACAATTTGCTGGAAACTTCTTCCCTATTCTATGAAAATAGTCAAAATGCCAACTAGACAAGCTCATTGACTTGATGTTGAGAGTTTTATCCATTGTATGATGCACTCAGCATTCACTTGTTGACACATATTTTAAGTGTCTAAAATTGTACCTGAATTATAAAAATTAGATCTGTAGAAACAATAGCTTCACATAAAACCCATTTATGACATTAACAGAAGTAGAGATAATATAACTTAAAATTTTGGTGTTTGTTTTTCAATCAGGTATTACTAGTTCTGATTGTATGATTCATTTTTAAAATCAAAAGTGACAAAAGAGTCCAATATACTTCTTTTCCAATTTTCTACCTACAATCTAAAAGAAATATTTTCTAACAATGCATCAATTTTCAGGTACTTCTTAGCCTCTATTAATTAGTTTGCTCTTCTGTGTTTATTATGTACTATTCCTTTTCATGTACATTCATTTTACACCAAAGTACTGTTTAAATCTCACAGGAGTCAGCTTAACCATATAGTTTCTACATATTTTTTAGCTTTCAAGAATTATGTTTTAAAACATACATTCATTTACTCCTTAGGAGCATATACAATGCATCCAATCATATCATATTAGGAAAATGTGGGGGATGGAGAAATTGCTCAGAAGTTGAGAGGACTTACTTGTATTTCAAGGGACCTGGATTTGAATTTTAGCACACACGTGGTGGCTCCAAATCCAGAGAATCCAACTGCTTCCTGTGGCTTCTGTGAGCAATGGTGTATGTACATAGTATGGATAGATTTACACACCAAAACACTCATAGACAAAAATAGAAATAGATAAATCTTTAAAAGAAAGAAAACCAAGGGCTGTTAAGATGGATCAGTAGATAAGAGCACTTTC